GACTCTCCGCTCCAGTGTCTGAGGAGTCGGTTGAGCCCAGCGGCCCCTACGCAGAGCTGGTGGGTTGCCTCATGTACCTGATGACTTGCACTCGCCCAGATCTCGCGTACCCTCTCAGCATCCTGGCTCGCTTTGTGGCTACAGGCAGACACCGACCGCAGCACTGGTCTGCCGCTAAGAGGGATTATCTTGCTAGTACATCGGGCATGGGGTTAGTGCTAGGAGGACGCAGGCCAGTGGTCCTTACTGGACACACAGACGCTTCGTGGGCAGACGATGCCGAGACACTCAGGTCTACCTAGGGCTACTGCTTCAGCCTTGGCTCAGGTGCCGTCTCGTGGAGAGCTACCCGCTCCTCATCTGTTGCCCAGTCCAGCTGTGAGGCTGAGATCTACGCTGGTGCCATGGCGGCACAGGAGCTCCGCTGGCTGACCTTCTTGCTCACTGACTTAGGTGAGCAGCCTAGCTCTGCCCCGGTCCTGTTCGCTGACAACAGGGCCATGATTCTCCTGTGTCAGGAGCCTCGACTCGAGGGCAGAGCGAAGCATATTCAGCTGCGATACTTCCTTCTGCGCGAGCTACAGCAGCGACGCCAGGCTCGCATAGTACACTTGGCCTCAGGTGCCAACACAGCTGATATCTTTACGAAGGCGCTTGCGCCTAAAGATCATCAGCGGCACTGCGTACAGCTTGGTCTAGTTCCTGTAGCCTCTCACTTGCTAGGGCCTTGACTTTGTACTGTCCTTTATATGCATACTCAGACTGGACTTGTGTCCTCTCCCAGTGGCTGGACTAGTAGTGCCGCCCTGGTCTTGTTCTTGCCTTGTCTCAACTCCGTCTGACTGGTCTTTTAGACCCTTGTCTCAGAGGTTGGACTAGTAGTGCCGCCCTGAGCTGCTTGTTCCGGTCATTCCCCTATGCAGTCTAGGGGGTGTGTCAAACATAAGTATAACTCATGTTTGTATAGACTGTATAGGGTCGCCTCTTAGAGGGTACAACACTCTTAGGTATATACCCTTGTACTCTCTCTCTATTCAACAATTCTTCAGTTCTAAGAGAGAGGTCCCTCATAAGGCAGTCATCGGCTGCAGCAAGAAAGGGGGGGATGCAAGGGAAGCATGTGCAGGTGGGGGGGCGAGGGGAGGGGGCGGGGCGACAGCAGCCCCCGGTGTGGCGCGACAGTTCGTGGGCGTGATGGCATGCGGGCGGTGGCGGCGTCACAGGCGTCGCGCAACCGGCTGCGGCCCGACGGCGCCGTCACAGAGCGACGTCGACGCTGCGGCTGCAGAACGACGGCCCGACTCCGCGGCAGCGCGTCGAGCCGGTCGCGGCATGACGCGGCCAGTGGCAGCGCGACGTCGCCACTGCAGCAAAACGCGGCCGCCATGGCCGCTCGAGCGAATGAGAGTGAGGAGTAAATGGCGGAAGCGTGAGGAGGCGGTCCAACAGGAAGGATCTCCGGCTCTGATACCATCTCAAAGAAGCTTAGGACACTAACTAAACTTAGGAACCTAGCTTAGCTAGGAAGGAAGGAAGGACGCCATGGAATGGCGTGAGGCAAGTAGATCTAGGAGTAGGCAAAAGTGACGAGAAAGAAGAGATTGGATTAGGAAGAGAGAGGAGTACAAGGAGGGGTTTGTACCCCCTACAGAATGGTTCAGTAACAACCTACCAAGCCTATATTAAATTATAACTTATATAATTTTAACACATAGCCCTGCAGCTGCAGCTCTTCCCACTGCCGCCAGTGATGTTTCTCCCGCTTTTGTTGGGGCTGCTACCACCCCTGCTGCTACCATCCTTGCTGACCTCTACTCGTCTCTGTACATCAATCCAATGTGCCCTCCCACAAATTTCAAAGTGAACATACGTGCAATTTATTAGCATTTTTCGAAGCCGAGGAAATAATCCTCGGGTAAAACCAGTAATGTAGGCAAGGAGTCAATGTACACTTCATGCTTATGTTATATTACTATTGCGTCCTTGGATATATGTAATACCGAATCCGTTTCCCCACACAGGACGAGCGCCACCGCCAGGAATACCGAGTGCTGATATGCCACGTGACATGACATTTGATACACCCTCTCTGCCAGGCTCCGCTGGGGTGGTTGGGGAGGAATCGAAGTACAGCCTATGCTCGTCAGAGTCGCACAAGAGTTTGAAGTGCCGAAAATTCACTCGCACAAGTATTTCGCATGCCCTCTCCACAGGCTTATGAGGCTTTTGCACGAGCACACGGCAAAAAGTGTGGGTATTTGCGGGGGACTTGTGTGGCAATGTTTGTTGCCAGTGTGCGACTCTTGTGAGGCGATCAGACGACTGCGGTGCACAGTTCCGTGACGACGAAACCACGTCGGCAATGACTTGTCCCTTGCTATATGTCTGTCGCAAACTCACTTATGAGTGACTCAAACGGATCTCATATGGCCCGTACATCGGAGATTTTGGAAAACATCTCTGATTGAGCGCTGGGTTGAGCTGCGATAAGGCTGGGCATCGTTTGTACAGCCCCCCATGCTCCACCCCCAACCCACCCAGCACCCCAGTGGGGAGAACACCCCTCCTTCCCCTTTCTCTCCCCTCGACGATTTCCCCTCCCTCCTCGCACCCCCTTCCCCATTCCTGAAAATCGTCCCCTTCACCTTTCCCCTCCTTGCTCGCTCTCATTTGCTTCGCTCCCCTCCCCTCCCCTTGTCCGCCATGGAGATAGATATTCACGTTGTCGTGAACTCGAGGGATGCCCCAGCTCAGACGAACTTGAGATCTAGTTCTTGATTTGCATCACGTGCTTGTACCTCGTACTCACCACGAGAGTTCCCTAGCCCGATTCGTTCACGTGAACATAGGTACAGATCACGCGAGTAGGATCCAATCCACGTCAGAGCTTATTCAGCAGTTGCCGTTTCGTACTCAATGTTGTTCAGCCAACTTTCCCACTTGGTCGCGAACCTTTGGCCAGCTTCTACAGGATTTAGCGGCTTAGCTCAGCTTATCGTGCTGGACTTGATATTCTCCGGTTCGGCGGTGAACAAAGCGGAACCACAACATTCTGACCAGTGGTCGAAGCCACGGCAGCAAGCAGTATGACGACCTTACTGGATGGAATTGTTCCATAAAATGCAGCGTGCCTGCATTTCGATATTCACAAAACGAGCTCCGCTGGATCGTTATCGTCCGTCTTCTCCCCTCCGCTTCAGTCCCTATTGACCCATATCGTCGGCCTTATCACTCATGGCGTGCCTTCACACCCACCAGCCCCTCGATCTGCACCCAACCCGTTGCGGAAGGGTCCCACGGCCAGCGGTAGAACCGCCGCTCGGCCGCTCCGCGCCAGCGCGTCCCGCAGTCGCGGAAAGTCCCCGCCGCGGAGTCACACCCAGCGCCCCCGCCCACCTCCGCAGCGGGAACCCGTCTCCCCGCCGAGCCCTTTCCGCCGCTGATTGCGCGGCTGCACTCCTACTAACACCATCGCCTCCCCGCGGGAAGAAGCCTGCTTCCGCGTTTCACCGGCGGCGGCATTCCCTCTCGGGAACACCATCGTCGCCCACGAAGCTTGTGTCAACCCCCCGCCAACCCAGCGCGGAAAATGTGACCCTTAATACTCCTAACAGGGTCGCCAATAACGAGTACGTTGCTGCTTCTTCTCGTGCCTTTCAGAGGCCTGCAGATGCAACAGCAAGCCTTCCCAGTCGTCCTGGGGAAGCCATGGTCCTGGGCCCTCGCACGACCACGCTTGCTGCCTCCTTCCAAAGCACTAGGGTGAGCGGTGGCAGCAACTCTGCCTCGCCTCAATCTTCAAAGGCGGCTATCTGCTGCCCTGTCTCTCCTCACAATCCAAGGCTCGGCATCAGCAGCAGCAGCAGCAGCAGCAGCAGCAGCAGCAGCAGCAGCAGCAGCAGCAGCAGCAGCAACTGCGCGTCTTCCACCCTGCGTCATATGCCGAGCAACAGCCCCCCTGCCTCCCCCCAGTTCCCAAGGCCGTGCCACAGCCTCCCTGCCTCTCCCGTATGTCGTCGTGCGGACAACAGCCTCCCTACATCTCCTCAGTCACCAGTGGGTTGTGGCAGCATTGCCAGCAAAGCTAGCATGAGTAGCAAGAGGGTGGCAGCAGAGAAACCTGGCAAGCTATGCCTCAGTGCGCCCTGCAGCCCCAGACGGGGTTCGCCTGGAAGAAGCCCAAGACGTGTGAAGTTTTTCCCCATATATTGAGGTGCTTGAGTATGTTCCATATGCAATACTTACTGGCTGTTTTTTGCATTAGAACTTCAGCCTTGTTTGTAGCCTAGGAGTCTAGGACACTAAACCACAATCTTTCTCTAGGATAAGCGCTTAATATTTATTGTTCTTCAAATTGCATGGCATTGCCTTACTTTCGAGTTTCTAATGTGAGGTCATGTAGATTCTCATGAATACATATGAAAGAGAGCGATATAAAATACCGGATACATGTTCCCTACGCGACACAGTGCCACCCTGCCATCAAACGACATCCACCCAATGCGTTTTCCAGTATTTCGGGCAAGTCCGCAGAGAAACAATCGCTTTCTAAATTCCGTTTTCTGATTCCATGATTTTCGGGCTGGGGTAGCGGGTAAAATAGAGAAGTCGTTGTAACTTTCATGCTTGTGAACCCGAAATTTCTCGGTTCTCGCTGGGTTTCAGCCGTGATTCTTCGAATAGTCGAATTTCCCTCATGAATAAACAGAACGCTTGAGGCGTGAATTACTCGGGAACTACTCATACTACACTCCATGTTAGCAAGTACCCCTCGATTGGGGCATTCTTCCTCATCCTCCCAATGTGATGGTTTGTCGCTAGGGCGTGTTTCTAGAGTACGCTTGATCTCGGTTGGATAAGGCTTTATTCGATACGGAGGATTCAAATAAGCATCTAAATCGGTTGGGTAGGGTATCGAGCAGCAAAAACGAAGCGCAGAACTTCGTACCCCTGCCTGAACTTTTACGTGCCAGCTGGCTTTGGAATTGCAACCTGCAAACCTTGGAACTGCCATGGGCGAAGCTTGGACACGCCACCAGCTAACCTTGGAACTGCCACCAACGAAGCTTGGATGTGCCAGCTTGCGCAACGGGAGTCCCCTTCGCTCCTCTCCATCCTAGTGGCTGCTTGATTCAGCCATTGCCCTGCTTTGGTTCCTTCGACAGGCACATCTCACTTCTCCATACCCCTCCCTCGCTCTACTCCTCGCCTCCCCGGGAGGAACTAACTTACACATTAACCCAAATACGGTGCAGATCGGTTCTTTGCCATCTCGTCTCTCGACCGATCGATGCGGGGGTCTCCCATTACCGTACCCTTGCCTCACCCTTGTGTGGTCCACGTGCCGAGAGCTCATTCTCACGGCGAAATTCCCTCCTCCCGACTTTTTTTTTCTCATGAAAGTAGCCGCCTCGATAACCGCCGTTGCGAGCTCTACCTGCGGCGAGCTCCATGCATACACGTACACTTACGTCAGGGCCGATGGCCACCGTCGAATCTGGATCTCCATCAGATACCAGAGCTCCATAGAGTGATCCACGCTTCGGCGACGGAGAGCATTCAGAGCTGATAGAGACGACGACCGTGCCGCTCGTCCGCACTTTATACAAGGGTGGAAACTTCTTTACTTACCGTGTTTTCTACTCCGCGCGCAGAGATCTCGACCTTCACTGTCTTGTCACGCTCGGCCTTCATCCATGGCGTCTCTTAGCAGCGTTCCGCGGCCAATCACCCTTCGCGACATGCCGTCATCATTCGAGTTCGACTACCCCATCAGAAGGAGTGCTTCCGAACCTCGCCCCCGCAGCCCCTTGCCGCAGCAGCCAGCTCGTCGTCATATCAGACGAGTCATCCGAGCCTGCGCGGCTGCCAGAAGCGTCGACGAGTCGGGGTCGGAGTCGTCCGCCGCGGCTCTCAAACTGCTCCGCGCCAGGCGCACGCGCCACACCCAGCTCTCCTGTGACACCTCCTCTAACCTCTGCAGTGACACCCAGTGTAACGTCTCCTGTAACGTCCCCCGCCCCCCTATCCAGCCCGCTGAGCGCGAGGAATCCGGCACCGTCTCCCCGCCGCGCGCTTTCCGTCGCCGAGTGCGAGGCCGCGCTTCTATCGCCTCCGCCGCCTTCGAACCCCCGTGCAGTGAAGCCCTCGTCCCCGTTCCATCATCGGCGGCGGCATTCCGTGTCGGGAGAATCGCTGTCGCGCGTCGAGGTACTGGGCTCGACGAGTCCGCAGGTGTTGACCGGGCCCCCGCTCCAGCAGGCCATCTTGTGCCAGCGCCGTTGGCGGTGCCTCTCCTGACAGCAAGCACGGCGTGGGTCCTGCTTCGCGCGTTTTTGCGAGGGCTAATGATGTGACCGTTACAAGGTCGGCCCAAGCCAGGCTGGCCGCCTCCGGCAAGCCGGTCTCGGGAGCATCGCAGGCAGGTTGCATAGATGATGATGTGGCTGTCTTATCCACAACGGGACGGTCTATCCATCGGCCACAAGCGAGTAGGTGCACACCATTGTTGGTGGGAGGACGGAGAGCCGTTAACGGGCGACAGATTAGAAGCAGCACAACGGTCAGCAACAGCAGCAGCAGCAGCAGCAGCAGCAGCAGCAGCAACACTGCCTCTCCAAAGCCCCCAAAGCAGAGCAGCAGCAGCCTTCCCCCTGCCTCCCCTCACCCCCCGACACCAACTAGCAGCCTGCCCGCCTCTCCTCAACCCCCAACGCTGTGCAGCAGCCTCCCTGCCTCTCCTCACCCCCCGATGCCGACAAGCAGCAGCCCGGCTGCTCCTCATCCGCCAAGCCTGAGCTGCAGCAACAACAGCTGCTTTCTTGCCTCTCTTCAATCTTCAAGGCCATGCCACACCCATGCCCTGACTCAACCCCCTACTAGCTGCAGCATTGTTTTCACCGGAGCTAGCCAACGAATGGTCACAGGGAAGCCTGCCAAGCCAAGCCTGATTCCACCCCCTAACCCCAAATCGGCTTCACCCAGCAGGATCCCAAAGCGTGTCAACTTCTGCAAATATGTTGAGGTGCTAGATTATGTCCCCTATGCCTTGTAATTTCTGCGAAATCCATGCCCACGTGACAATTGTCACTGTGTCTAAGGTGGGGAAAGTTCACTAATCGTGATAATGCCAGAAAACCCTTGAATAATCAAGTATGCATGAAGTATCATGAGGTCATTTGAAATAAAGCTTTTAGTGCCTTCTGCAACTTATCCGAATCACTGTGGCATACGATGTACAATGCTTCCATATAGCCTTACGGGGCAATAGCAAGGTTATGCGCGTCCTGTCATTATATTTTTCGAACGTGTTTAGATTTTTCCACGAGTCATCCCGAAATGATATGTATGCCAAGTCATCACATCCTTGATTGACTCACATGGTGTAGCGGACTGGCTGGTGGTGCACCACACCACAATCTTGCTCTCCGGCGGCCGCCACCAGGGCAGCCTCGGGAACAGCTGTACCTCCGCCTCTCCCCAGCTGCACTTTTCGGTCCCCCATTTTCCGCACCCCTCCCCTTCCCCGCCCTCCCCGCCTGGTGTCGCTGATTCTCCCAGCCAGTTCTCCGCAAAGCCAGCTCCCCCAGTTCCTTGCAAGCCATTTCCCCCAACCCCCTGTTCCCCGTGCTCTGGAGGAACTGGAGCCCTCATATTCTCCTGCAGGGCCTTCTTTTCAGTCTCTGCAGAACACAGCCAGCGACCATGAGAGCCAAGGTAGAGACCTCCCTCCATCCCGCTTCCTCCACGTAGCTTGTTATGATATCGGTTACGAGTTCCACTGCCATCAGAAAGATGTGTTTCTATCGTTCGTCGTCGTTGATGTGTAATTTCCTTTGGTTTTCTAGCGTCCGGCGACTTTCGAGCTAGTCGAGGCTTACTGATATCCATGTCGATAATTTTTGTTTTGCAGTGGAAGAAAAAACGCATGCGGCGGTTGAAGCGCAAGAGAAGAAAGATGAGACAGAGATCCAAGTAAGCGTGACATGCGCCGAGGATTTCTCGCCTGTGCTTTGACGTGGAAGCAGGACTCCGATACTTTGGTGAGGATCCCGATTGAAGGTGCACTGATAATGTCCTGCGAAAGTCTGGCGACAACAGAGCCGACCGCGAGATTGGGGTTAGACTTGATGCCATGGTTCCTAGCATGATGCTTCTGCTTGATCCAGCTGCTCCTGTCTGACTTGTTTGCGAGGCTTTGCCACGTGGATGCCTCTTGCTGGCTCTTTTGATACCAAACTCGTAATGTGATTTCAAGCTTTCGAAGCGAAGCTCGTTTCCGCATCTTTCCTGTCACACCGTGGCTTATTGTTTCTTTTCTCATCTGCTTTCTCCATGGCTGGCCCGGTGACGATTTCATTGTTACACACTCTGAAAGACTCTGGGCTTCTGTCCTCTGTCCAGTGTGGTAAATATCCACCAACGCTGAGGGCCAGCCATGTCAGCAGCGTTTCCCCATTTTGTTTCCTGTACTCCTGTCGCTTCGTTTCTCGCATCGATACCTCACAAATTCCCGTGAGCTTTTTCCCTTCACTTGGGGATCATCCGAACTCCGTAAAACATTCCATGTAGGAGCAAACCCTTCGCTAACCCTTGGTAAACATTCCGTTAATTTCAGGGGTGAACTGCTGGTCTGATAATACTGGGTGGCAATTCAGGCAACCAACCATGCCTATCACTGCATGGCTTAGGTGTTCAGCCGCCCCAAATAGCGATTTCTGTTGTACTCGAACCCTCTTCGAGGGTAGTTAGCTTTCTGTAGCTGGCTGAGGGGTGCAATAGAGTTCAACTGATGGGGTGTAATTTGATTGCAAGTGATAACAATTGTCACTGGCACATCTTGAATACGTTAGCAATAAACTCTTCCGCTGCCCCTGCCGTGTTAAGGACGGAGGAATTCTGTCTAGGTAGTTTCTAGAAAGTCTTAAAAACAAGTCAATTTGCTCGAACGTGAGCCTTCAAGCAATCATGTGTGACGAGGAATTGAAGCAATCATCTAATGCACAAGGCTGATCTGATCGAATTTTCCCTAAAAGATATAAACAGTAACGTGAAAGTTTTGTGCACCAAATGGAGGTCTTCCAATCCCAATGAAGTATCACAGCAGAGTGAGATACACCAGATTATTGATAGACTACTGGTTGCGCTATGGATGGAAGTAGACGTCAATTCATCTACACTTCATTTCCTACCCACCTCCTGGCTACGTAGGGTAGCTGCTGTCCCTTCACTCGGCCCTTCCCATGCCGTTCCTTCCTCTCCTTTCACCTCCTCCTCTCCCCTGCTCCATATGCCCACTTCTCTCTCAGATTTCTGTGCATCCTCTCATTTTCCTCATCTCTCCCTCGTGACCCTCCTCTCCCTCTCCCGCCTCCCTCGACCGTTCCCCTCCATCCCTCGGTTCCCTTCTCTCCCTGAAGGCCCTCCTCTCCCCTCATGTATCGCCCTCTCTCCCTCACGTCCCTCCCCTCTCTCATGCCTCTTCTCTCTCCATCCCACCTCTCCCCTCTCCCTCACGTCCCTCCTCTCTCTCTCACGTTCCTCCCCTTCCACCAGTTCGATTGCCAGCAGCTGCAGGAGAGTTAGCAGTCGCCTCTGCCAGCCATTGTGGAGAGTGGCCCTGACGCCTTTCTCCCTCAGTTCCCTTCCCTCACCCTCACACCTCTGCCCTCTCCCTCACGTCTCTCCTCTTTCCATCTGTTCGATCGCCAGCAGCTGCAGCGAGTTGGCCGTTGCTTCTGCCCACCCGTAGTGGGGAGTGGCCCTGAGGCAATGCGCACAGGCAGACAGGCAGACAGGCAGACAGGCAGACAGACAGACAGGCAGACAGGCAGACAGGCAGACAGGCAGACAGTTGGCAGACATTGAAGGATATAGACAGACGTTGATGGATATAGACAGACGTTGACGGATATTGACAGATGTAGGCATTGACAAACATTGACAGACATTGACAAAAATTGACAGACATTGACAAACATTGACAGACGTTGACAGACATTGACAGATGTTGGCATCGACAAACATTGACAAACATTGACAGACATTGATAAATACTCGCAGACGTTGGCAGACATTGGAGGACATTGGAAGACAAAGACAGGCATTGACAGACGTTTATTGACGGACATTGATAGACATTGACAGAAGTTGACAGACATTGACAGACAGACAGAAGCCTGACATAACGCGACAACGACTGTGAGTGCAGTCCGATCCCCCCATTCCTGGTGTGCCACTTTGCTGCACTCACTCTCAGCAAGTCGGCTTTGAGACGTCTCAAAACTAACTCGCTGCACTCAATTGTGGTAAGTTTGCTCATCGGCAGCGCCTCTGTGAATTAAGACTCTCAACGGAACCCACTCACTCGTAGTAGGTGGGCTCATCCACCACCACGTCCCACACCTCGCCACTCGTGCTGCTCCTTGCACCAAAGAGACAGAGACTGGAATTCACTGCAGCAAACACACATGGGTGCGCCCACACACACATGGGCGTTTACTCCCCTAAGTGCCAACGAGGTCCACTCACTCGTAGTAGGTCGGCTCATCCACAACCACGTCCCACACCTCGCCACTCGTGCTCTTGCCGTACTTGTGCACCTTGCTGCCATGGGAGGTTGGTGAGGGGAGAAGATGGGGAAAGGGAGAGGAGGGGGAGGTGAGGGTGGGAAAGGGGAGGCCCCACCCCTCGCAACTCGTGCTCTTGCCGCACTTGTGTTGTGCATCTTGCTGCATAAAAGCGAAACGAGAGGATGATGGAAAGGGGTAGGAGGAAAACGGAAGACGATAATCGTAGAATTCTTTTGTAAGCGCTACATACCAAGCCCCATGCATATTGAAGCTTGAAATCCCTTGAAGCTCAAAGCTCACGGATCTCACAGAAGAAAGAGGATGCAAATTAAAGCCCATTACCAAAAGATGACTGACTTCAAGCACACTCTTACCCGTTCCCATAGTGCTCCTCTCCCCACGTTCTTGACCACCCTGCAGGGCAGGTAGGGGGCATGAGGGCAGGTTGGGGCATGAGAGCAGGTAGGGAGCATGAGGGCAGGTAGTGGTTTGCAACTGGTACAGAGGGCGAGAGGTGGCCTGAAAGTAGTAGAGGATGAGAGGGGGCTCACGGGAGGAAGTAGGGGAGAGGTGCCACCTCTCCCCTTGTCTCCGTCCCACCCCGTTGGTGAACCGCTCCTCCCACTTGTCGCCCCACTTGCTTCTTCAACACAGCAAAGAGAAAGGCGACTAACCAGCAGCAGAGGGAGCAAGAGGCGACTAACCACGAGCAGCAGAGGGAGAGAGGCGACTCACGGGAGGAAGAGGGCGAGAGGTGCCATGTCTCCCCTTGCCGCCTGCCCACGCCGTTGGTAAACCGCTCCTCCCACTTGTCGCCCCACTTGCTGCCGTCGTCATCCTGCTCGGCCCACTTGTCCGTCCTGCCATGCCACAAACATGCATAATATGAATGTGTATATATTTATACACTACTTACTATGCAACTACATGTGTATATCTCAAATTCAACCAAATTCATCACCACTACAACTAAATCCCCACACATCGGCGCCTCGTTTGGTTCGCTTCACTTCTCCCACCACAACTGTTGTGCGAAAAGCTTCATTGGTCTATATATATATATATATGTGTGTGTGTGTGTGTGTGTGTGTGTGTGTGTGTGTGTGTGTGTGTGTGTGTGTGTGTGTGTGTGTGTGTGTATGCATATGCATATGCATTAACACGTATTTCACTATTAGTTACAGTGTAACTCACCACTTGAGCACCGCCCCCGCCCGTCGTACTGCTCGCCCCACTTCTCCCACCACGACTGCCCCTCGTGCCGCCCAAACTTGTACGCTCCCTTCTCTGTCCATCCCCTCTCGTTGTACTTCTCCCACCTGCGAGATAGGGAGAATAGAATATGAAAAATGAATACGGTGCAGAGAAGGGAGCGTACAAGACAAGTTGTACAAGAAGGGAGAGTTTGGGCAGCACGAGGGAGAATATGATAAGAGGGATACGGTGCAGGGGAGTTGAAACGAGCCCTAGGATGCAACTTGTACGCGCCCTTCTCCGTCCACCCCCTCTAATTGTACTTCTCCCACCTGGTAGGAGGGAGAGGGGGAGGAGAGGAGGAGGAGAGGGGGAGGAGAGGGAGAGGAGAGGGAAGGAGAACAGATTGTCAGAGTGCAACATTCCTCCTCAACTCCCCTCAACTCACTTCAACTCCCCTCCCCCAGCTTCTACAACTCCCCACTCCTCCTCAACATCCCCCCCCCCCCCCCCCCTCTCCCCCAACGCACCATTTCTCAGTCCAGGCGTCCGTTCTTGACTTGGCCTGCTTGTGCGCACTGCGCTCGATGCGCGCGATGCCACTGGAGACAGGAGGAGGGGGAAGGAGGGGGGGAGGAGGGGTGTAAGCAGGAGGGCGTTATGGGGGAAGCGCATTCACAGGACTTGGCCTGCTTGTGCGCACTGCGCTCGATGTGCGCTCGATGTGCGCTCGATGTGCGCTCGATGTGCGCTCGATGTGCGCTCGATGTGCGCTCGATGTGCGCTCGATGTGCGCTCGAAGCCACTAGTGAGAGGGTTTTTGAGGCGCCTCAAAACTAGTGAGAGGGGGCCGGGAGGGGGTGTGAGCAGGACTTGGCCACACGCACACAAGACTTGACCTGCTTGTGCGTTCTGCGCCCGTCGCCCGATGCGGGCGATGCCACTGGTGGGGGGGGCATTCGAGGAAGAGCGGGGGCACTGATGCAGGTGGTAAGGGTGGGAGATATGGGCTTGAGAGAGAGACCACCCTGGGACTTGGCCTGCTTGTGCGCACTGCGCTCCATGCGCACGATGCCAATGGTGTGTGAGTGAGGGGGGGGGGGGGAGGGGGAAGGGGTGACGGGAAAGAGGGAGGAGGGTTAGGGAGGAAAAAGACACGATCTCTGCACTTGGCCTGCTTATGAACGCTGAGCTCGATGCGGCCGATGCCACGGTGCGGGGAGGGTGGGGATAAGAGGGGGGAATGGGGAGGGGGTGCAGGGGGGGAGGAAGGAAGGAGCGCCTCACAGATTCCCTCATTCTCTCATCTCATACACACTCCAATTTGCACTCCCTCATTCTCCCATCTCATCCCCCTCCCCATTCTCCCTCATCTCCACTCGTCCGTCCGTAGCTCCTCCTGCCATGTCTCCCACCAGCTAGCGCCCTGGAAACTCCCACACGCATTCCCACATTCTCTCGCACACGCACTCCCTCACGCATTCCCACACTCTCTCTCACACACACACACTCCCACACGCATTCTCACATTCTCTCTCTCACACACACACACAATCCCTCACGCATTCCCACTCTCTCTCTCTCTCTCTCTCTCTCTCTCTCTCTCTCTCTCTCTCTCTCTCTCTCTCTCTCTCTCTCTTTCTCTCTCTCACACACACACACACACACACCCACACGCATTCCCACATTCTCTCTCTCTCACACACACACACACACACTCCCTCACACATTCCCACACTCCATCACTCTCTCCCTCGCCCTTCTCCCTCACCTCCACTCGTCCGTCCTTAGCACCTCCTGCCACGTCTCCCACCAGCTAGCGCCCACACAGACCCTTTCACACACTCCCACGTATTTCCCTCTCACAATCCCCAACCCCTCGCCTGACTTTTGAGTATACTCAAAAGTCACCTCGCCCACCCAGACCCTTTCACACACTCCCACATATTTCCCTCTCACAATCCCCACTGCAACCCCCTTCTCCCTCACCTCCACTCGTCTGTCCTTAGCACCTCCTGCCATGTCTCCCACCAGCTAGCGCCCACAGCGTTCCGCCCACTCTTCTCTGCACCTGCAGAGCGGAGGGAAAGAGCGGAGGGCCGGCGCGGGGTGGGGTCGGGAAGGAAGGGGGAGGGAGGGGGTAAGAAGGAAGGGAGTGTGGGAGAGAGGGGGAGGGTTTGGGAAGCATAGGGAGATCCTCTCCCTGCTGTACAGTTTCCAGGGAGGAGGACGTGGAAGATGGGTGGGAAGGGTAGTGGGAGTGAGAAGAGGGGTCACAATGGTTTCTCGCTGCTCCTAGCAGTTACACGGATGGTTACAGAGCAACGCATTGCAATCGTGTTAGAATGACATGCTTACCTAGCTCCTTGTACCCGGTCCAATCGCTCTTCTCCCACCACTGCATGCGATGGTACGGCACAACACGTCCAATAATATAACAACAAATAACAAGCAAACAGCACATAACAACAAATAACAACCAAACAGCACATAACAACAAATAACAACCAAACAGCACATAACAACAAATAACAACCAAACAGCACATAACAACAAATAACAACCAAACAGCACATAACAACAAATGACAACCAAACAGCACATAACAACAAATAACAACCAAACAGCACATAACAACAAATAACAACCAAACAGCACATAACAACAAATAACAACCAAACAGCACATAACAACAAATAACAACCAAACAGCACATAACAACAAATAACAGCCAAACAGCACATAACAACAAATAACAGCCAAACAGCACATAACAACAAATAACAACAACGTAACGCATCACACCATATCATGATACGATGCATGAGGTCAAAGGGAGGCATGCAACCAAAGAGAAGAACATGAATAATAACGAGTACATGCTTTGCAATAAATCACAGTTCAGTTCAG